AAAAGGCACTTTCGAACAAAATCAAAGCAAAGAGGTCTTCTTTAGTTTTCTTTCTATTGTTTGTATCTTTTGAATCTTTCGCGTCCTTACTTTATCTAAATAGAATTGCTGATAAAAATTGTACATCGTTATATAATAAAGGCAGAGAAAGAACGAATTTTTGAATCCTTAGATTATATGTAATGTAACATAGTAATTATCTTTTTCAATTGGGAGAGATGGCTGAGTGGACTAAAGCGGCGGATTGCTAATCCGTTGTACGAGTTTTTCGTACCGAGGGTTCGAATCCCTCTCTTTCCGTTTCCGTTGATCACTTGATATTTGATTTATCTTTCCAATTTTGCAAACTTTTTTCTAGTTAAACGCGTGGAATAGAAAAAATCCTAAGAAAATTTAAAAATCAAGCAAGGAAAACTTATTTCTTATTTTATTCTTCACGTCCAGGATTACGTCCTGGATCATTAGATAGGAATCCAAAGATGAAGAGAGAAACAAAGAATATCACTACTGTGTAAACGAAGAGTTTGAGAGTAAGCATTACACAAGCTCCAAGATCATTTTTTGAAAAAAAAAAGAGAATAGATCCTCTATTTTTATACCACATATCGTGTTTTGACACCAAGAAATGAAGTGCTTTCTAGAAATGAAAATTCATTTCATTTGTAAGAAGAGTCCTTCATTACATTACCAAACAAAAACTTATTTCATACCCACAATTAGATATTGTGGGGGACCCTAATAGGATAAGGTCTTTCACTGGAAAGGGGTCCGAATGGAAAATGGGATGAGTCGGATTTATCGCAGCTATCCACGAATTTCAATTTTGAATCGAGGATTGATACTGTAAGACTTATCTGATCTTATCAATTGTTAGAATTTTTTTTTCTTGAATAAATCATGACTTTTCTACGATAGTATTAAGGATCTCATCGAAAACTTACAGCAGCTTGCCAAACAAAGGCTAAGAGAAAAAAGAGTAGAGGTATGACTGGCATAATATCTACGATTGGATTCAAAAAAGCATAGGCCTCGGGCAATTTGGCCAAGAAAGGACTACTCGAATAAAGAGTAGAATTAAGACAGATACAGATTAAACTAAAGATATTAAGCATAACAGACATTTTGTTCTTGGAGATAATTGCATTTTGATTGAGTTATTGATATAAGGAAAAATGAAGAAAGTAAGGTTGACAAAAAGATCCTTCTTTTTCTTTGAATCCACCCAATCAAAACTCCTCCAATTCTCAACAGAGAATAGAAGAAATTATACTTTCATACAATATCTTAATTGAATTCTATGTAATGATCAATAAATTCAGGTAAATTCTATACCTACATGTATAAAAATTCTAAAAAAAATCTAATCTATTTTATAGATATTTGGACTGAAATTGACGAACAACCAAGAACAATATTATTCTTTATTAGTGTCCAATAGAAATTGGGGCGTGGCCAAGTGGTAAGGCAACGGGTTTTGGTCCCGCTATTCGGAGGTTCGAATCCTTCCGTCCCAGAGCATATCCATTCTATCAGAATAAAGATTGCTTTTTTGAACAAAGTTCTGTTTAAAGGTCTAATATTGGATAGAATGTGATTCATGTTTCTGATTTTGAATCGAAATGCGAAAGAACCGATATTCCCTATCCCAATTATTCATTTTCTGTGGATTTCTGAATTCTAAACAAGAGGGAGTTCTTAGTACTAATGAAATGGGATTAAGTCTTTTAAGACTGGGTTAGGGTAAAATAAAAATAGGAGCAAGAACTTAATCTGGACTTGTTTGTCTTTGTACCTAGACAAGATAGTCTGTCTGTATTCCGTAAAAAAGAATCCTTTTTTGATTTATAACTCATCATTCCAATAAAATTGGGGGGGGTAGATAGGAATTAATTAGCAACGGAAAGTCTTAATTTAAATATCTGTTGTGTCTGTCCGAATCCCATTAACAAAGAATCAAGTTACATATGCAACCGATGTATTTTCTTTGAACCTCATTTTTAGGTATTTCGTCTTTGGCTTTAATGAATAATTGTAAATTTATGTAACGATTGAGACGGGGGGGTTATTCATAAATTTTATTCACTTTATTTTATGTCAAGATTGTAGAAAGATTACTGAACCCCAGCTTAAACAAAATACGAAAATACATATAAAATAAAGAAATGCTTAGCTTATATGTATTATTCTTATGGTTCTATTTCAGTAACAATAGTCTTTCTATTTTTATGAAAAATAACTGTGATCTCTTAAATGTAAAAATAAATGTAAAATTTTAATATTTAATTAATCTTTAACATAGAATATCCATAACAGTGACAATTGTTCAGCCTATCTGATAGATACGAAAACCCCCTATTCGTTCATCTGGTTCATAAAATTATAATCGAAAGTATAAGCACCTAAATCTTTCTTTACATCAGCTTATTTATCCATCTCACGAA